AGCTGTGACCTCCCACCGGGGAAGGTCAGCTATCACTGGGAAGGGTTCGCTGCCACCAGCCACCGGGCAAGGTCATCCCCCACCAGGGAGTGTCAGCTGTCTTTGGGGAGGATCAGATGGCGAGGATCAGCTGTCACTGGAGAGGATTCAGCTGTCAGGAGAAATACCACTTGTATTATGGGGTTTAGAACAGCTGGAATGGCAGCTCTGTAGCTTGAGCAGACACCATGGGCGGCCGAACGAGGAGGGCACCGGGGCACCGTGACGTGCCCCCCTTTGGTTTTGACATTTTAACATTAGCCCTATGGGCGTTGCATGGAAAGAATGGGACTTGGACCAAAAGTCTGCAGTGTCCCCCCCCCCCCCTAATTGAAGGTGTTCCGCCGCTACTGGCTGACACCTGACATTAGCGCATATTTTAAGTCTTAGCACCCCAGCAACCACTCTAGCCAAGGATTTATGTTATCAATTTGGTCTGAATCTTCTGAATGGAAGGGTTCACAAGGACATAGTCCCCGCTGAGAGGAACATGTTGGCATGCCCTCCACATTCTAAGCACACATACTGGGCTAGGGCAGAATTTGGTCTGAAATCATATGTACGCACAAAACCATGCATAGCCAATCCCTTACTGACAAAGGCTGGCTACAGCCTGCCAGCAGCCATAACCATACCCGTGAGGAGTCTCATAGCAGCACGCGGAGCACGTGCTGCTCCGCTACCGGGCCCTCGCTGGCTCCCGTCGAGGTATTGGGTTTACGTGGAAATAAAAACTAATTCGGACGCTCAAACATGGGATAGTGTACAAAGCCCCGAAACACTCTGCCTGGTTGATATAGCCTTGACCAGTATATGTGTACATGTGCTTTATATGAAAAGGGCTTAATTTTCGCACAAATAGCCACCTAATTTTTGGAGCAAATCACTCAGAAATTTCGGCGCAAAATCGTTTGCGCCGAATTTCGGCGCAAGATGGTCTCACGGGCGTCCGGCATAGTGTATGGATGTTTTCCAGTCTGGCCCGTGAGGAGTCTCATAAGCAAGATATATTAAACATTAATTTTAATTCTGAAATAACTCCCATGCCTGCATGATACAGGAGTGTGGTGAATTGAAAAAATGCAACTAGGTAATGCAGCCACTCGGACAGAATTCAGCCATTCATCATGCTGTTGGTTTTGTAGGTACTCGGAGCACTCAGCAGTGTACCAAAATCATATTTTTGCTTGGGTGTCAGAGGGGAAAATTGCTGACCAAAAAAAGGATGAGAGTGAAAATTGTCGGTCAGGTAAGGCCCAAAAAGAGTGGGAAAATGATCAAAAACATTAATCTATCTACAATTGTGACAGATGTAAAACAACCATTCCCGCAATTGCTCCTTCTCGGTGGGATTGGGAGTGGAAAATTGGGCTTGAAAACTGGAGGCGAGAGTGGAAAATGATTTGCATTTCGATGTCGTTTCCCACCCACATCTACAAATTTTGGGACACTGCGCATCAGTCAATGTACATTATGGTTCAGTCGCAAGCCTTGCTTTAATCAACGAAAAAAAAATTCTAACATGCATCATGAATTAACAAAATTTTTATTCATATTTTTGTTTTTACCTTTTCTCATTATTTCATGCACACCTTAAAATCATGAAACTGTAGCGAGCAACTGATTTGAAGATAGGAAAGTCCTTGCTACATTTCTCGACATTATCAAAACATCTTTTTCCAAACATACCTATCAACATCCTGGAAATATGACTTAGCAATATATTGAGGTTCCATACCCTTGACAAGGCAAATGCACAAACTTTTAAACCAAAACAACTTTACCAACTTTTAAATAAATTTGTGACTTCCACTCCTACTCCTTTACAAAAAATCATTGTTGTTGCCTGCTGGATCGAAAAGCGAAAGAGCGCCCTCGCCCCTTCCGTGAGACCTGCACAAACTTACCAGGAGTCTGCAGTCAGAACACGACACCGTATTCATATTGAAAGAGGGCATAGCGTATAGAAGAGTAGCGACTAGCGTCTCATTGACCTTAGGCCAAAATATTTCACTTGATGACATCCACGCAACGCAAGGCCAATGCAGTGTAGATAGGCATATCAATATAGAAATGATATGTCCAAATATGTCTTTGCCGCGTCATAGTTGTAACGCACTGCGGGGAACTCCAGAGATCTGATTGGCTAATATTAGCCAATCAGTAGCATATGTTACTGGAAACTGTCATAGTGGAAGTAAATTGGTAGCTGTTTCAGCTACCAAACTGATGAAGGAAATAGGTAAAATTGCTTATTTTACACGAACACCTGTCATACGCTAATCAAAGTAGAGCTAATGAAAATGGCATTATCCCACAAAGGAAAGCCAATTTGCCACGTAAGCCACCATGAATAGATTTGCTGAGCTTGTCATCACGTTTTTTTAACAAAAACAGTCAATGAAATAATGTAATTTACGAATTTCTAGCACTCACATGCATATTTTCGTCTGCACACCGAATTGCGTCCAGGATATTGGCCATGGCGTATTTCTCGGGAACCCTCTGTTAGTGGAAATTCCACTATCTGGCAACTAGCCCTATGTAAACGCGGCTATCAACAGACTAGACGCAAAAGTGGCCCGTTAAGAGCAAAGAAGCCAACACATTGTGCCGAAATGGCATGGGTGGAGAACCTGCCCCGGCCACCCCGGCCGTGGCCGGGGTAACTTTCAGCCTACCCCGGCGCGGCCGGGGTAACTTTTCTACTCTTGTAAATCCTAAAAGCTGTCTCCATACGAGAAAAGAAAACTCACGCTCTTCGAATGTTGACTTCCATGGGCGTAATATTGCAAATCAGGTAGGTATTTACCATTTACTTAACTTGCCATAATCTCCAACCCTAAGACCCGCGTGTGGTCGCCAATGCCAAGATTGCTCTCAAATCCTGTTCAGTTTCGAAATTTTGGCGCGCCTTCGGCGCACTTTTTCAAAACTACTGCTTGACCTCATTTACCGGGGTTACATGAGCGATCCGTTCCAAATACGCACTACGCTAATGCGCATCAGCTCCCCACAAACGGATCTACGGCACCGGTTACATGAGACTAATTCGTTTTATCTACGTCAAACGGATCTTGTTTGGCTCACCCGGGCTGACTCCTCGACGGCCGGTAATTCGCATCACAAACGGAATAGGATTAGCGTACAGTCATGGCGCAGTTGCGGCATTTACCGGGACGACTGAGCTAAATTTTAAATACTTATATCATTTGATAGGCTCAAAAACATTTAAAATTAACATGAAATCAAAAAATGAAAACAAAGTTCTCTTGTTTTAAGTCAGTGGGCACTGATTCGCCATGCAGCGACAGCAGGGTGGTCAGAAAAAATTATCTTTCAAAATATTTCATTCATTTTATTTCACATGCAAAGACTAAACCAAAATACCAACATTTTTTTGCTATTTTCTACGAAGCAGCCAATAAAAAAGTTGTTAAGTATTTTGCATTTTGACGCTTCCAGTCAAGCTTCCAGTCAGCAAAGAATAGTTCTTGTGAAATACGGCCCGAATCGTGTGCCTCGGACGTTTCGGTTACATGAGCGATCCGTTCCAAATGCGTATATATCTTTCCCGAGCGAAAAAAGCAAACATTCCAGTTTTTTGGCGCTTTTGTTTCAATTGTGGTGGTTCTGTTCGAAGACCCATACAGATGGTGTTTGCGCAAAATTTCTAACGGAAAATTGCCTACTATTTAGTGTCGACAGCTGCATATTAACTTTTTGAACACGCCTCCAACACTGCTTGTTTATTGGCTGTCTGTGGTATTGGGCTGTGTTGCTGTATATACCGTGTGTTGCTGGGTGATTGTGATAATATTTTCATAATTAACCTTTTTATTCAGCGGTAGAGAATTCTGAAAATCCCAGGAGGTGCTACAAACCCCTAATTGTCCACCCCTGTTTTTTTATTTTAAGTTCCATCCAGTACCAGTAGGTATGAGTGTTTGTGGCAATGGAAGGTAGGTGAAACATTTCATTATTGTAATTTTAATCTTTTGAGACCTGAATTTCAACATTCTCTTGAGAGCCTGAGAGCATTCATGCCAAGGTTTCTGAGTCTGTTTCATGATAAAGAGACAATATTTATAATGGAGTCAACTTGTGGGTCAAGTCAGCGGAACTTGATAAATGAGTATGACATCACCTCTACGCCTGTCGCCTCCTGTATTGTAGTGATGGCAGGTTCAATGCTGAGTCTCAGAATAATAGCCAGCGAGCGTATACTGTTGTTTTGTATTTCTATGCCCGATCGGCCCTTATGTGTAATGTCTTGCATTTCTAAATATTGAACTGTAATGAATGAGACGCTGTAATGAGGAACTGTAATGAAAAGACTGCCTCAGACTGCCAGGTTCTATTTAACCAAATATGACTGCATGTCTGCTACAGAATGAAACACTGACAAACACTGACACTGACATCAGGCACTGACAAAGTGAATGCACAAGAACGATAAGGACTTCTGGACTTCAGAGCAAGAGATACACCCTACGCTCAGGAACGCCGCTGTCACCACATATAGCATACAGCACCCGGTCGTGCCCATCATTATTCATTAGCCTACAAGCCCCACCAGACGCTAACCGGCCACGATTTTACCGCCCTCTACGAAAAGCAGTAATCTCACTTTGCAGGCGACCTCTACAACGATAGAGGAATCGACAACTGGCAATCCGGCCTGATCGCGTCTCTCCGGTCTTACCACTTTGGCTATGCAGTGGTGGTAAACGGTAATGGGCTTCCGCGATTACCATAAGCTCCAGGGAGGTGCCATCCCCACACCTCCCCTGCCGTCCCCTGCATCGCCATCGTTCATCACAAATGGCTATAATTAGGATCTGAATGCCAAAATTCATCGGTAGGAAGTTGCTTTCAAGCACTGTCCAGCTCTCAAATGGGCGATAGCCACAACGCCCCCTGCAGTCGCACCAGTCTTAAAATTGATAGATCCACTCTACTGACAGGCACGGTGTATATTCAACCCAAAATGCACATAAATATCACAACAAAACAACCCCTATTCCCTGCGTGACCATGTGAGTAGCACTCCCCGCTAGCTGCGCTTCAGTTTATCCCCGACCCGCTCCCTGACCGCCTGGAGGAGGCGGGGCTCGCTGTACACCGCCGCGGCCACCACGGCGGCCCCACAGAGCGCGCCCACAGCCACATGGACGGCGGCGGAGCTGGGGTACAGCCAGCTCTCGGAGCCAGTGTCAGAAAAGTGGCCGGTTTCTCAATTTTTTTGAACTTGGAAGATTTGTTCTGTGAGATTTTTCACTGCTAATAATCACTTTTTTTGTTCCGTCACTGACTAAATATCAACTGCAACTGGGCATCACAGGACTGAAAGGGAAACTTACTAAAGAAACATGTTAATTGAAAATTTGACATTGTGCTTTGTTCTGTTTTCAGATCTCCAAAGCAGCAAGCAAGCATCCTGCAAGTACTATTGAAACAGATAAGAAGCAGTTACTCCACAATTTCACCATGCAATCATCATAATTGGATCAGTTAAAATGCCAGTCATTCATTACTTTCCAAAGTTGAGGTGCTTACAAGATAGAAGTATTGACAAACCATGTCAAACTATCCAGCAAGTTTTAAAACAAGCGTGAAGGAATGAATCCAGTATACGTGCCTTGAATGTATGCTATTGAGTGTGTTTGTGAAATAAATAAATGTTTCCATTCCATCACATTTCTCACCTGGTTTGTCTACGAATGAGAATCAGATGTTTACGAAAGAGAATCAGCCCGTGACAGGATGATACCTACCATCCAATTCAACCATGATCACCTGCATGTCACGTGCACGGAATGAGGTTAGATGCTTCTTACAATAAATCAATATTATCACGAACAGCCACCCATACCAATACCTACGACTTGAATGGCAAGTCCTCAGTCCCAGCCTCACCACAACTGCAACGTCTTTGCACAATGCACAATCCACACCACGTTTATGGATACACTGCCATTCCTTTTGCGTATTCTTTCATCAAATCAGTAACTACCGATTTCCTGCTGTCTCGTCCACTATTGGGCAGGAAACGATTTTTTATGCAGGAAACACTGACATCACGAAAAACTAAACATCACTTTTGACCGTGATGCGCATTATTTGTCGAATTTCCCAAAAGACGGTCGCTTTTGCCCGTTCAGTGAGGCTGCCATATCCTCATAACGGCATTTCAATGGCAGTGCATTTCTCAGTTTACCATATTCTTGTTCCGTGGCACGGAACAAAAGTAAGGGTAGAATAAAGGTTGAAGTAGGCTTGCAATCGGTTCAAATTAGGTATGGCATCATAGATTGTTCAATTCTGATTGTTTCTATGTCAAATTTTTATATTTTTATGGACGTTTTCATATAGTTTTATTGAAACGCCGTGACCATGTTTCGTCACGGAACAACTCACTTAATTTGGAACGTTTAAGCAATCTCGACTTGTATTTATAAAAAATTGGGTACCGTTAGAATCGTTGAGAGACGGCGCTTTTCATAGCATAAAATTATTGCCCAGTTGATGCCGATTGCAGGTATAATACCGACATATGCTGATATCACTTTTACATGAAGTAATGTTTGTCTAGGGCATAAAATCCCTTTGCTTATTAATATATCATTTGAAATAAAGCAGCCAGATTGAAGTCTAATATTCATTTATTTTAGATTCTTTTTAAATATTATATGCTATTTTGAAGTTTTCATCAATTTGAATCATTTTTATCAAATTGAAAACCAGTAAAGAGGAAATCCCTTTCCTCTAATTTCCCTCGCCGAGTCATCCTCCGCGCCATTTCTCAAGGCTCGAGGTGCGAGGCGTCCGTTTCAGTTTGGGCAAGCGCGTGGGCCGTGGGCAATTATCTATTATTGATTACATATAATCATTTGTGGCATGGTTTTTGGGGGTTGTCTTGCACAAGACCTTTTTTCTTTAAGTGCTGGCATGTTTTTGTGTCTTTGTGGTTCGTTATTTGTTGGTTATTTGCTTCAAGCTGGATTGCGTCAAATTTGTCAAACTTGCATTATATCAATATAGGTATAGGTAGGTACAAGGCCATTTATACTGATACTATGTAGGTAGGTAGGTACCAGTCCACTTGGCTATGTTTTGATTTTGCTTAAAGGTATTTCAAATAGTATTTCAATATACTTAGCAGTTTTTGTTTCATGTGAAAATGTGTCATTTGAAAAGCATATTCTGAATGTTGTGTATATTTTTATACCCCATTCATTTTTCTCACTGCATTCACAATTTTAAGAATTATTTGTATATTTTCCATTATGAATAATTTTGAGCATTAGTGGTCATCCATTACCTGCATGTCCAGATTTGCTAACTAATTACAAATAAGTCTAACACTTGGGCTGTAAGGCCACAACCTGCTGCGTTCCTTGAACCCTTATTTTATATCTAGAAGCTGCTGTTTCTGACTGAGACTCTGGCAAATATCTTGTATACTTAAAGCATACCTAGAACAATACGCGTGGCCCTACAGTGTCTTACTTTATGATTTTTGTTCCGTGAGCAGCTAAACATTTTGTTCCGCGAACTTAGATCCCCAAACCACTTTTCTGACACTGCTCGGAGCCGGCTGCCAGCAGGCCGGCGGTCACCAGCGCGGCAGCCACGGCGGGCGGAGACCGAGCAGCGGCGGCACGGACACCGCCGGCTCCAGCGGCAGACCGGCCACGAACCGGTAACTGGCGACACACGGGGCGGGGACAGGGTGAGAGAGGTACGGGACACTGTATCGGGCATCAGCGACACACGGGGTGGGGACAGGGTGAAAGGGGTACGAGACACTGCATCAAGCGCCAGCAACACACTGGACGGGGCGAGCGGGCAGCAGCAGCATAAAATGGGACGAAGACATGATGGTTGAGAGTGGCACGGGACACTGTATCGGGAACCAGCAGCATACGGGGAGGGGACGGGATGAGAATTGAGAGGGCTACAGGACACTATTGGGGACAGCAGACATTCGTATCAGTCGATGGACGGGTGAAGTAACGAGATCCAAGTATATCGAGATCGGCGAATAAAGCGTGATATTGACTATCCATGACAGATTGGATAATGATGTAAATAATTAGACCAATTAGGACAAATCAAATCTATTCAAAAACACAAAAACTCACCAAACGTATATCCTGGTCAGCATATTGACGCAGTTGGCGAGGATAAATCCAACCCCGCCGAATAGCCTAGTAAAGATCCCTGTCGAGATGACGAATATCACAGATAGCAGCACCATCTTCCGGTTATACCTGAAACACCGGAAAACGTCACAACACCTGTCAAAGCGCCCGATAGTAATGTTCCTAGCTTCACTTTATCGACACGACTGGCCAGCCTTTCCACTTCGCCTTTAGCCGCAAAAGGCAGTCTAACAACAAAAACCAATATGAGAACGTCATTTCCTAATCCGCTCAGCCTCTACCGACACTCCTTACTAAGCCACCGACCATTTCCCGACTGCTTTCCATAAACCCTCCACGGCACTTACCCATTGATCTGTTCCTGGCGCATCACCGCGAACGTGTAGCACTCCAGCACTCCGTTCACCGCCAGTAAGAGCACGTAGGCGCACTGGGCGCGCAGCAGACTGACGGCCGGACCGGCGGTCAGCAGGGCGCCTCCGTACAGTCGCAGCAGCAGGTCGGAGTAGCTCCAGCCGAACGTGACGGCAACCAGACCGAGCAGGCTCATGGCGCGCGCAGCAGGTCGTGCAGAACCCGGCCCGCCGCGGCAGACACCGGCTGCAGGGAGAGGAGGTAGGGTCAGACTCATAGCGCGGAGTAGGTCGTGTAGCACCCGGCCCGCCACCGCAGACACCGGCTGGAGGGGGAGTGAGCTGTCAGGCACCGGCTGGAGGAGAGGTGCCAAACTGTCCCCTTCCAGTGACTGGCGAGAAGGGGAGAGATGGCCAGAAGGATAGAAGCTGGGCAACAAAACAAACCGAATGACAAAAAAGACACCAAGATGAAGATCACAACGACTGGCAGTAAGGACTTATAGCGGAGATGAAGAGTAGCTACGAGTATAATTGGCTAATATCAGAGTGTGTGCTTACAGCTTTTTCGGCGCCTCACCGGGCATCGACACACTGTGGTCAACGTTACTGATATTTTCACCAAATGCCACTACTCCTCAGTAAAAAACAAAAACAAAAACAAAAACTAACATCAAACACCTCCTACCACACAATCAGCCGGCCACGTTGCCACCTACCTTTCCCCGTTCCACTGTGCGCGAGAAGTAGACGTAGGCGTTCTCCTCGACTGGCTGAAAGAGGAAGCGGGCCGCCAGGCTGCCCAGGTTGGCCACCACGTCGTACAGGCCCTGCTCGGAGAAGTCGAGCAGGTGGAAGGCGGTCATCAGGTAGCGCTCGCCCTCCGTCAGCAACTGCTTCAGCAGGCCTTGTTTGAAGAAGCTCCAGGTGAGGGCCAGCTGGTCACGGTCCAGCGCCGGCTGACGGGGAGGGGAGGAGAGGTATTACTGTTCAGTGAAGAGAGATGGCAGCAAGGGTCACATCACCACCGTCGCGACAGGAAATGTTAGAGGCAGACGCGGTTGCTGGGAAAACGTGGCAGCACAACTTTGGCTCTATTTCTGAGGATACTCGATCCAGCGCTGCCGTGAGCTGTCTGTAACACAGGTAGGTCTTAATACCGTTTGACTGCAATCTAAGAGGCCTTAGACCTAAAGTTCTAGCTAAATGAAACGAAGAATGCGACGACTTGGCCAAAAGAAACCACTATGACCGCGAAAACGCTTGACTACATTTGAAACCCCGCCCCTTTACAAATAGTTCACTGGCCTCACCTGTCCCGGCACCAGTCTGGGTCCCAGCTCGCTCGCCGACTTCACCGGTAGACAGTTATCCGGTGAGCGGACGTGCCAGAGCAGGGTGCCGTAATAGATGACCACGAGGAGAGCGGAGCTGACCGCGTGGCCCACACAGTAGGCCCAGATGGCGTGGGACGGGTACAGGGCGATCAGCCAGGCTTTGAGCGCCACCCGACTGCACAGACTGACCATGTCGGCTACCACCTTGGGAGAGAGGGAGAGCGGGTGGGTGAGAGAGTGGTGAGAGGAGATGGGGAGGGGCGAGAAGACGATAAGAGAGTCAGAGATAATCCACATATGCCAGCAAGGTAGGGAGAATACAGTACTTCAACGCGGTGTGAACGATCGACGATCCGCAAACGACTGTCACAGCAGGCGATTTGAGCTTCAGATATAATTTCACTGATATAGCAGAGTCATCGGGGAACCGACGCGCCTCAAATATTTTCCCCTGACACCCTGTTCCTCTCCTCTGCGTCACCCCACCGCCGTCATTCACCTTCAATTTGACAAATAGCATGGCCTGCGCCAGGATGACCAGCGGCTGGGCGGCCGTCTCCAGTACGACCATGGCCGCGGTGACCCACACGCCCAGACGGTACTCTGAGGTGACCTCAGGCGCCGGCTGGCTGAGCGCGTGCAGCCAGAGGCCGGCCAGCGCCGCCGACACCGCCGCTGACACGGGCACGCTAAAAGGGGAGCGGGGCGTCAGTCAGAGGCAATTACAACACTGCTCTTTTGTAATACACTCAATTCACTGGCAATAAAACATTACATAGGTACTTATGGAAAAAAGTAAAGGGTGCATACCTGACACTGATGATGCCCAGGACATCAGATGTAATATACCGGAGAATGACTGCATTTGTGATGAATGTGAACAGTACACTCGGTAGGTTATCTGAAAGACATTTGATAGGTATAGCTTCAGCATCAATATGTGCAACACAGACCATGCTATTCTGGGCCCTGTTTCACCGGTGATAGCAGCACGCTGCTATCACACGTGTCAAATTGGGTTTCCATGGAAACATCAGCAAACCATGACGCCGTCAATCTGTGTGATGTCATCAAATATTGCTGCCAACAGCTTCACGGCCGTACGATCAAACACATCGCATTCAACGAAACAGCAACTCTGTTCCAAACGCAGCTCACGGATTACATGAAACGTCATTAGTGTGACCTCATCACATTACGTCAGCTCGCGCAATTTGATAGAAGCGTGCTGCTATCAACGGTGAAACAGGGCCCTGGTCTCTGCAGCATATAGGTACTACATTGGTGGAAAATCCCAGGGGGTGCTACAAACCCCTAATTATCCACCCCTGTTTTTTATTTTAAGTTCCATCCAGTACCAGTATGAGTGTTTATGGCTTGGAAGGTAGGTGAAACATTTCATTATTGCAATTTTAATCTTTTGAGACCTGAATTTCAACATTCTCTTGAGAGCCTGAGAGCATTCATGCCAAGGTTTCTGAGTCTGTTTCATGGTAAAGAGACAGTATTTATAATGGAGTCAACTTGTGGGTCTCTACCGCTGAATAAAAAGGTTAATCCAAGGTTAATCATCAAAATATTATCACAATCACCCAGCAACACACGGTATATACAGCAACACAGCCCTATACCACAGACCACCAGACAGCCAATAACAAGCAGTGATGGAGGCGTGTTCAAAAAGTTAATATGCAGCTGTCGACACTAAATAGTCGGTGATTTTCCGTTAGAAATTTTGCGCAAACACCATCTGTATGGGTCTTCGAACAGAAACACCACATTTGAAACAAAAGCGCCAAAAAACTGGAATGTTTGTTTTTTTCGCTCGGGAAAGATATATACGCGTTCCAAATACGCACCACGCTAATTCGCATCAGCTCCCCAAGAACGCATTCAGTGCACCGACTACATGAGCAAATTCGTATCAGTGACGTCAAACGGATCTAGTTTGGCTCTCGGCCCGATGCGCATTACAAACGGAATAGCATACAAATGTGGCGCACTTCCGTAGCAATAGAGGTGACTAAATTAAAAATTCATTATCTTATGTCTTTTTTGCATTTAATCTGCTCAAAACATTCTCAATTAACTTAACAAAAAAAAGTTGAACATAAAGTTGTCTTGCTTTGACTCATTGGGCAATTGCCTCTCTTGATTCGTCTGTAGTGCTGTCAGAAAAATGTTTCAACTGAAATTATGTGGATATTTACTATTTGGTTTTCACTATATTTATTGTTGAAAACTTGGCAAAATACCGACATATTTTTCAAAATATTATTTCAAAAGAAGAAAATGAAAAAAATACCTATTATTTTGCATTTTAATGTTTCTTTTTGCGAAGAAATAGTTCCTGTAATACGTATCTTGGTCCTATTCGCTTCTAAGCCTCTTTCTCAGCGGATTTTGTTCGGACCGCCGATTCGTATTAGCAGGTGGATACATGAGTCGGTAGTACGCTCCTGATTCGCATTAGCGGTGAATCCGATCGTGATACGTATTTGCTTTGCTCATGTAACCGCGGATCGGATCGCCGATTCGTACTAGCAGGTGGCTACATGAGTCGGTAATGCGTTCCTAATTCGAATTAGCGGCTAAATACGTATTTACTGTGCTCATGTAACCCCGATAATTGCCTTCAACTGACCTGCCACCAACCGCAACCACACCCGTTTATGAGCGTACCCGTCAGGGTGCTCATAAACACCGAGCGGCCATCATGCTTCGAACTCGGACTGTTGTAACCGGGCCGCGTGCTCTCGCCACGCGGAATCCAACGCTCTATGCAACTGAGCTACGAGACCGGGACCGGTCGATATTCCTGGATCGACTCCCTGTTTGTATCACGGTACATAGAATACTAGGTAACACCGGTTTGTCCGCTCAACACAGGGCCAATGGTCACCACTTTCTTCAGCTGACGTCTGTGACCTTGAGCTGACCTAGGATGATAAACAGCTGACAATTTAGGCCATTTGGAGCTCACTTGACAGCTGAAGAGCGTGATTTAAAATATAAATATTTGTCAGGCACTGACAAAAGATATTATTCACCAGTCATTTTTTAAGCACATTCTGTCATAAATTAGTTGACTCCCTCTGGTCTTCCACACGGCAGAAAATGCAAGTGCAAATTCTGCCGTCTTGAAGTGAGCCAAACGCTTATGAAACACATGGTCGTTTCTCTCAAATCACAACGGAAACTGCGAGAAAACAAGAGAGAGTCGGACTCTACAAATGAATGAATTTGGAAGAAAAATAACTGTATTTTTTCCTGTGGAAATGTTGACTTTGAAAACATTGGCCATCAACTTTAAAATTGCCCCCAAATATGAAAATGTGTGAATTGACAAAACAGGCAATCTTGCTGTTTTTGCCCAAGTTTGTTCATGATTGAGAGATATTCGATGCGAAAATGCACTGATATATACTTTTGAAAGCGAGGTTTTGATCAGTGTATTAATTTTGATTTTTAACTTAACGCTAGTCCCACTTTTCTCTCCAAGAAAATATATTTGTCAATTTTTCAATAACCATATTATGCGTCATTGCTTTAAAAATAAAGAGAGTCGGACCGTAATTCTTTCAAAATGACTGATCGTGCTCAATATCTATCGGAATATATCAACAGATTGGCCAGACTCATTGGCTAAATATGTTTAAATCACATTTTTCTTACTTTCTGCAGAATTTCCTGCAAAATTTTACTGTAGTTTAAGCTGCGTTTCCTGCAGATTGTGTTCACAGACCAATGGGAGACAAGTATTTCTTCATCAACAGGTTTATTCGCCATCAATTGGTCTAGCTGGTGTTTTTCGTATGCGCAGCTTATGTCACAGCTGCGTAAGAACAGGTTCGCTTTAAATCATTATGGGTATTTCTTTTCGGAATATCAAAGGTCAATGTTGATGTGTTTCATAAGATTTGTGGTGGCGGGATTATCGTCATTAACTAATTACTTGATATCAGATTTTAATGGGGAGTGGTGTAATTCCCGCACGACTGTTGACTTTCATTGTAATTGCCTGAGCTGGTTCCTGGGCCGCCTCAGATAGCAGGATGGTGTGTCAAGTATCAACTTGACAGGAAGGTGGGTACCCAGACACTGAAATTTCTGTGTAATTTGCGCCAAAAATTAGGTAACTATTTGTGCAAAAATTAAACCCTTTTTATATAAAGCACATGTGCACATCTACCGATCAAGGCTATATCAAGGCTATGGCGTCTGCCGCCATGCGCCGAATTCGGCGCATGCGAAGTTACCTACGCCGGACATGCGCTGAAATTTTCGGCGCAATCCTGCCACTATGCCGGACATATTAGGCATAACGTGTATTATTTCCAGTCTGGTACAAAACACAAATCAAACCTTACCTAACCCCATGTTGCATGTTCATATGAACTGTAGATCAGATATTTTTTTGAAAAAATACCCATCTTTCATCCTTTCAGCATACCTACAACCTACTAAACAGCCTTGGTATCAACCTAGCATTCATACTTTATCTGCACATACATATTGATATATGTGGTATGTTTTGTTCAGTAGGTTATATGTAGTAGGTCAGCCGTCAGGTGCCTACATGCTATCATTTGTCATGCTTTGATTTCAGATGGTGTCTTGTGGGCTTTATAGTGGGCTTTGTGGCCCTCGTGCAAGGGTTAAGTGTTGATGCACATAATGCAATGTGTTTTTTCCATGGACGCAGGAACCTCACGTAAAGTTTGGGAGGGGGGGGCAGAGAACTTCAATGTCACTTTGTGGGAACCGTAATACCCCTATGAACAAATTCTTTGCAGTTTCGTGCTCATCTCACCTTGCCGAACCATTTCTTGCTCTTAGTTTTGAATTTAAATGAAAAATAAATATTTTACTTTAAAAATTAGCATAGCTGAAAAGTGGGGGCATGTCCCCCCCCTCCGCTCCTACGCCTATGGTTTTTCTTAATGGTACAAATCATCCACATTCATATGTGAAGGGTAGGTAGTTACCTACAGAACCAAATCAATGCCTCAATTGCTCATTGTTTTCTTACAATAAGTCCCCCTCCTCTGCCAATCGCACTAAAGTATCTACTGTCACAATGCCGTGTGCGTCATGATTTCTCAACTCTATGCTTACAATATATTTCCATTTGTCAATCACATATTGTTTTTTTTTACAGGCTTTCCGGTTATGACTGAGGCCGGCATCTCACCTGTCCTGGCTACGCCAAATCACTGCGGATGCCGGATGCCGAGGACCGGAGAGCCAACCGCTTTGAGGCGTGAGCTCTGTGGCGTGGCTCGAGTGACGGCTACGGCGCCGTCGACCTGGTTGAATAGCTGGGGCCTGGACGAGGGTGCCCTTAGTACGGTGGCCAATCGGTTACGTCCGAGGGGTGCTCGAACACGCTGCCGTCGCGTGGCTGCCGGCGGCCGCCCCCTCGCACGTGAATCTTCTGGAGCGAGGACTGCGAGAGGCGGCCGCATCATCACCTGTGTCCGCGCTCAACACCGTGCCACGCACTAATGGCGGAAGCCCGACTTTCTCCGATGGAGGAGAGAAGCTGGACGCTGGCTGCCAGGCTGCTGGGGAGGGCGCTGGCTCTGCCATCAGGGGACCCCCTGCGCGCGACCGCCAAGGCCTCGGCACCGGCGCGCCTGTCTTCGGTCCGAGGCTGGAGATTGCGAGGCCGCCAGGCCTGGGCGAGAGCGAGAATCCCACCGTGTCAACAGACGGCCACGGCTGGCGTCACCTTCCGGTTGGACGTGTGCCCGATCCGGGCTGGGGCCACGGCGGCGGAAAGGGAAAGCGTGGCTACGCTGCACCTCGCGTTCCTGCCCCTGTGTGCTGTCCGGCTTTGGACGGACGGATCTGCGGAGGGCGGAGTCTTCAGGTGCTGGGCGGGAGCCGTGCTGGTCTGGCTGTATTTGTATTTGTATTTGTATTTACATTTAAGAGCGATCCACATACAAAGTGCGTGGCGATTACTGCTCAGAATCCGTATCCGCGGCTGCTGATCTAATCATTCAAAACATTTGCACATTCACTCACGTCAAAACAAGGACAAGGCTGGACGAAGAGGCCGAGGAACTGCGGGCCCCGGCCGGAGAGCTGTGCTTTAGCTACCGCGCGGAGATGGTGGCGCTGGTGACCGGTCCGGAGACCCTACTCGGAAGAGACAGAGACCAGGACCTGCGTTCCGTACTTATCTGCTAACTGTGCGGTGGTGCTGGTGCAGTGCAGCATTTTTGGATGGATAGCTACATTTCACGATTAAATAGCTGTTACGTTTCAGTGCAGGTGGCGTGACGAACAATGTGGTAGTTATCTGTTGGCCACTTCTGCGGCCGCTGCTATTTCCTACTCGAAGGCGGGCGCGCTGTTTGGCTGGGCCGCCAGGATGTTCCCATTATGTGTCGACGACAAAGCGAGTGTATTCGTGTTCTTTTAATGCACAGAGGTCTGTTGTATATTTGAAGTTTTATTTTAAGTTGACGATTGCGAAGGGCAGATTCATCTTCTCTCTTTCATTTGTGTTGCCACTTTATCGTTCATGTTTGTTATAAGTGTCCATGCGGCTTGGTTGTCATCTTTATTCCTGATGTATTTTATTTTACGAACATGCTGGTGATCAATGCAATACACTTTTGGTTAATAATGCTGCTTTAGCTCTGATCCTTTGTGGTATGTCTTGA